TCTGACAGCGCTTGCTCTTTGGCTTTGTAACAGAGATGAGCACTGCCCCCTAGAGTCAGGAACGACTAGCACATATGTACGAGGGGAACCTTTATTCCTCCCTTCAGAGAGGTAACAACATACAGAAGGGAAAGTAAAAGGATGTCTACAAAACAAAGAACATGCTTTATTTTGATCCCAGAACAAAACAAATCCAGTGAAAGTGTTTTCTGTACATGGGGGCGCATGTGCTATACCTAGCCAGACAAAAGCCTTTGAAACAGAGAATATAGCTAGTTTAATGCTGCAAAGTTGGTGCTCGATTGTACCAATTCACTTGGCAAGGCACCCATTTTAAATAGAAGGCATAGCTCTAATTAACAAATACTACAAATAACTTATATTGCCGAGATACCAAGAATTGCTGCAGGCTAACTTAGATGACTTATCTTAGACACAATTAGTTCTGAACGCTAATGTTAATCATACAGATTAACTAAGATTTCCTCTGCTTTCCTATCTAAATATTAAGCAGTACTATAATATATCTCCAAAGAGCCTCATGATTTGACTGAGAGCAAAGGCATAAGAATAGGCCAATTGGTGCAACGCCTCCAGGATGCACTTCAAGGTTGGTTCTTGATGCTGATAGCACCGCCCATCGCTCTCCTCTACAGTCTTAAACTTTCTACACATGGCGTTGGAACTACTAAGTGTAGCTAGGTTTCATTTCTTTGTAATATGTTGGATAGGAATTTTTTGCATTTCTTATTTCCTGAGGTGCCCAAGCCAGTGGTGGGATTCAAATCGGTTCTGTGGGCGTGGCTTGATTGGCTTGGTATGGTGGGCGTGGCAGGGGAAGGATACTGTAAAATCTCCATTCCCACCCCACTCCAGGGGAAGGTTACTGTAATTCCCTCCCGATCAGCTGGGACTTGGGAGGCAGAGAATAGATAGGGGCGAGGCCAGCCAGAAGTGGCATTTACTGGCTTTCCGAACTACTCAAAATTTCAGCTACCGGTTCTCCAGAACTGGTCAGAACCTATTGAATACCATCTCTGGCCCAACCTATAAACCCTCCAGTGACACCAGGTTACCTCTCCCCGCAGGACCAGGAAAACGAGGCCAAAGCTTCGTTTCGGATGTAATCAGGTACAAAGGACCCAAGTATCAGAAGTCATTTTAATGGTTCCCTCTTAGTTTAAGCAAACAGGAGAAGAGCCTCCAGGTCTAAACAGCTGCAAGGGTAGATACCTTAACTGGGCTATCGTTATATAGCCAGGCAAGGAAGGAAGTTGAATTCCAATATGTATCTGGAGCTTCCCAATCGCCATCCGACCAAATAAGGTCCGGCTTGTACCTAAACAGACAAGTGATAAAATCAAAAGATTTTAACGGCTGCATTCTTGACTTATGACCACAATTCCTGTTGCTAGGCAAGAGATTTGTTAAATGATTTCCGCCCCATTTTATGACTTTTCTTGCCACAGTTGTTAAGTGAATCACGGCAGTTGTTAAATTACTAACACAGTTGCTAAGTGAATCTTGTTGATAAGTTGCAAAAGGTGATTGCATGACCCGGAACCCTGCAACCGTCAGAAATACGAGCCCGTTGCCGAGCGGCCAAATTTTGATCATGTGACCATGGGGATGCTGCCATGAAGGTAAGTGTGAAAAACGATTGTGTCACTTTTTCAGTGCTATTGTAACTTCAACACACTGTTGAGGACTACCTGTTTTGGATTGTGAGAGGAGGAATATATCCATTGGAAAGTTGCAGGTAAGAGGCGTAGGAGTGAGCTTGCAGGTCTCACTGAAACAAAGTTTTAAACTAACATACCGTATTTTTTGGACTATAAGACGCACCAAGGTTTTGAAGAGACAAAAAAAAGTAGTTAGGTAGATAGAGAGATAGAGAGGGAGAGAAAGAGAGAGAAATACAGTAGGTCACGGACGTGCAGTCACTAGAGGCAGGGGAGGCGGGGCCTCACCAGTCTCCTCAGGAAAAGGAAAGAATTTTAAAGATTTTTTTTTTTTAATAATTAAAGCCAAAGTAGTTGCTACCAGATTCCAAGACACAGTGGCTTGGAGTCTGCTTAGTGTTAACTATAGGAGGAGGCGAGAGACCTCGGGGCCTCCTTTGCATAAGGAATTTTTCGCCTTTTAAAAGTTAAGCAAGGGTTAAAAAACGAAAAATTTTGTATGCAAAGGAGGCCCCGAGTTCTCTCCCCTCCTCCTATAGTTAACACTAAGCAGACTCCAAGCCACTGTGTCTTGGAATCTGGTAGCAACTACTTTGGCTTTAATTATTAAAAAAA